GATGGACTGGCCTCACAAACCACCACATATCTTTTCATCACGTTTTGTCCTCACTCACGTGCTCCCTGGAAAACTTCCCAGGGGGTCACCCATCCTAGACTTGCTCCAGGCCAAACACGCTTAACTTTGGAGTTTCTAAAAGTTGGGTTCCCGAAAAGAAGATGTATCTTGATGGTATGAGTGTTCCAATCAAATCTATCAATACTAATCACATCACCTTCTCAAGGGTTGGGGTATTACACCGCTTCATCTGACAGACCGTGGGTACTAGATTCAGGAGCCTCTTCTCATGACAGGTATAAAAAAATAAATTTGATTTCCTACAAATTTCAAATAAATTTTCTTCCGTTCGTATTGCTGATGGGACTTTTTTCCCTGTTCTTGGTGATGGGGTAGTTCATGCTACTTCATCTTTGACTCTTAGAAATGTTCTTTATGTTCCAAAATTTCTTGTCAGTTTATTATCTATTAGTCAGCTTACCAAGAATAATAACTGCTTAGCCACATTTTCCCCTTCATATTGTACCTTTCAGGACCTCTAGACTGGGACGAGAATTGGTTCGGGTCGTGAGGGAGGAGGCATGTACTACTTGGACGATAGTGTGCCACAATTTGGTCTTACAACAAGTCTTTGTGATACTCCTTTACAGTGGCACATGCGTTTGAGACGTCCCTCTTTATAGAAGATTCGTTCAGTATAACCTATCGAGTCCTTCATTTTATCTCTAGACTGTGAGTCATGTCAGTTAGGAAAGCATCATCGTGCTTCCTACCATAGTAGAGTCAATAAACGTAGTAGTGTCGCTTTTGAGTTAGTTCATTCTGATGTTTGGGGTCCATGTAGTTTTCCTTCTGTGGAAGGATTTAAGTATTTTATTATTTTTGTGGATGATTTCTCTCGTATTACTTGACTTTATTTGTTAAAAAAGAGATCTGAAATTGCAAGTGTAATTCAACTTTTTCATAATGAAATTAAAAATCAATTTTCTACTTCCATTCACGTGCTCCGTACAGGTAATACTTTGGAATATATGAAAAATGAGGTTTCTCAATTCGGTGCAACTAATGGAATTATTCATTAGACCTCTTGTCCATACACATCACAACAAAACGATGTAGCTGAACGGAAGCATAAACATATTTTAGATGTAGCTCAGACCTTGATGATTCATATGCATGTCCCAAAATATTTATGGTCTGATGCTGTCTTGTGTGCATGCTATTTGATTAATAAGATGTCATCTTCTGTTCTTTATAGAAAAATTCCTTTCTCTTGTCTGTTTTCTGATAAAATCATGTTTGCTATGATTCCTCGGATCTTTGGTTGCACTTGTTTTGTTCAAAATATGCGTTTTGATCAAGATAAATTGTCTCCTCGATCTATCAAGTGCGTTTTCTTAGGGTACTCCAGAACACAAAAGGGATATCAATGATCCTACATCTCAGAAGTATTTTACTTCTACATATGTCACTTTTTTGAGTCCATTCCATATTATTCATCCATGTGTATAGGATCGCCTTCTATCTCTGTTCCTCTACCTCAATTGGTACCACTTGCTTGTGTTCCCCTTGCTCAGCCAGTGCCAAGTTCTGGAGTTGAAAAAGATAATTCATCAAAACCAGTTCTGTTGTATACTAGAAGGCTAAAAGAATTTGCACCTATTTTATCTTCGGCTGATCCTCTATCTACAACTGAAGGTTTTACCCATTAGCCACCATGATCTATCTGACCTTAATGTGCCTATTGCTCTTCAGAAAGGTAAACGATCTACTACTGCTCATTCGATATCTCATTTTGTCTCATGATCATCTTACCCTATCTTTTCGTCAGTTTGTTTTGTCCTTATCTTCTGTTTATATACCCAAATCTTATCAGGAAGCTGTGTTAGTTCCTGCCTGGAAGCAGGTCATGGATAAGGAGATGGATGCACTTATTTCCACGGGGACTTGGGATGTAGTTCCTGCTCCTTCGGGAGTAGATATTGTCGGTTGTCGCTGGGTATTCATTGTGAAATATAGGCCGGATGGATCCGTAGACATACAAAGCTAGATTGGTTCCAAAAGGATTTATTCAGACATATGGGGTTGATTATTTTGAGACATTCTCTCCTGTTGCTCGTCTTAATTCCATCCGTATTTTGTTCTCCATTGCTGTTAATCTCGAATGACCTATGTTTTAGCTTGATGTGAAGAATGCATTCTTATATGGTGATTTCCAGGAAGAGGTTTATATGGAGCAACCCCCAAGATATGTTGCTCGGGGGAGTCTCATGTATGCAAGCTTAAGAAGGCGATCTACGGACTCAAACAGAGTCCACGAGCTTGGTTTGATAAGTTCAGTCAAGTGATATCTAATGTTCGTTTTCAGCGATGTCATTCTGATCACTCAATTTTTGTTAATCGCACTACTTTGGGGACAATAATCTTGGTCGTGTATGTTGATGATATTTTGCTGACCGTGAGTGATACAAATGATTTAGCAAAAACTAAAGAGTATATCAAGCAACATTTTGTGACCAAAGATATGAGAACCAAAATACATTCTTGGGATTGAAGTTGCATATCAGAAACATGGGTTACTTCTCTCTCAAAGGAAGTATGCCTTAGATCTTCTAGAGGAGACTGGTCTTCTGGGTTGCAAACCGGCTGGTACACCGATGGAAGCTAATGTGGATTTTTAGGATGAGAAGAGTGATCTTTATAAGGATGTCAGGCAGTATAGGAGGCTAATTGGAAAGTTAATCTATCTCACAGTAACAAGGCCTAATATATCATTTGTTGTGGGGCTTTTGAGTCAGTTCATGCACATGCCTAGAGAGGTTCACTGGGAAGCAACTATGAGGGTTCTTTCCTATATCAAAAGCTCTCTTGGAAAGGACTTATTGTACAAGAAGCATGGACCTCTACAAATCTCTGCCTATTCAGAGTCGAGCTATGCTAGAGATAAGGGGGACAAAAAATCTACTACTGGTTATTGCACCTTTGTTGGTGGTAATTTAGTAACTTGGAGGAGCAAGAAGCAGGAAGTAGTATCTCGGTCTAGTGCAAAGGCCAAATATAGAGCTATAGCACATGGTACTTGTGAGATGATGTGGTTGAAGAACTTGATGACAGAGCTCTATTTTGTTCAGCCAGGACAGATGCCCATGCATTGTGATAATCAGTCTACTATCTATATTGCAAAAAATCCTGTATTTCATGAAAAGATAAAACACATAGCTATTGATTGTCATCTAATTAGAGATGCCATAATGAAAGAAGTGATCTGCACTCTGTATACTCATTCAGAACAGTTGGCAGATATTCTCACCAAAGCTACTTCTTCGAAGGTGTTCTCAGTTTTGTGTAGCAAACTGGGCATGATCGATATCTACGCTCTAGCTTGAGGGGGAGTGTTAGATTTAGTATTGTGTGCTTTTTGGGTACTGGATATGAACCCGCATACTACCCGGTTGTATTGATATATATTAATCTTTTTCAAAGAATAAAAATCTATCTGAGTATTTTACAACTTCTACAATCTTTTTAGTAGATTGTATAATATGACTTGAGCTAGACTATTATTAATAGTATCCAATCTATCAATTATTACCAATCCAAACCTAAAGGTCTAATTCCCAAATTGAAAATTTGCACCACTGGATGTGGTGTATTGCACGTGTATTACCTATAAACAACTGTTTTATTGACTTCAATGTCGTTTAATATGTAGAAAGGGACAAACCTTAAGCGAACTTTACGAAAATTCTGAAACACTAATATTGATGACATATAACGCATAGATAAAATATGATGAACTCCTTTGATTTTTATTTCTTTATAGTTCATGTGTAGTAATCATAATCTAACAACACGGATTTTCAATTTAAAAGTGAAAATTTCAAATTAAGATGCATAGTATCCACATTTTCGATACTTAGTAGTGTACGTCAACTTATATAATATCTTGAGTTATTAGGTATTCTTAATACTATGTCATCAGTCTGTTAAAGAGCTACCAATTTGGGAAATCCTTTGAGTTAAGTTGTCGGGTTTTCAGTACAGAGGTCATTTGTGTTGCACCCATGATGATGTATATTGATTCAGAGTGATGTTAAACTTCTTTTGATTGCTGTAGGCTTCAATAGTGTATAAGATTGCTTCTGAAATCAATGCTACTATTACTAATGGAACTTGAACATGTAACACATTGTGGTAGTTGTTCTCTTAATATTCACTTGATGTATGTTCTCTCAAGGTTTTAAATGTCGGCCGACATGTCCGACATGTTGGCCGACATATCGGTTTGAGGGCTTGAGCACGCGACATGGGCGTTTTTAACTCGTACATGTCGGTCGACATATCGATTTGACGGCTTGAGCGACACGACATGGCGTTTTCAACTCGTATGTCGGTTTTCTGGGTCAAATCAGAAATATCAGGGTCATATCGGACATTTCAGCTGATTTTTCAGCTTTGAAAAATTGGCCGATATGATCCTTTTTTTAGATCTATTTTTTATTATCGGATTTAGGTTTAGTGATAAAACCCAAACCTGTTTAACCCGTTCTTATGTTTAAGGGTTTCTTATGAACCCAATAGAAAGAAAAGAGAAAAATTAAGACTATAGCGGATTTGGGAACCAATCACTCCTTTCGTGAACGACGACGTCCTTCCCTATCTCCATCTTGGCCCCGTCGTCCATCTCCCGTTGCGCTCCGAAATGCGAACCCCAATCGAACCCGAGGGCAGCAAAGTATCCTGTCGTCGGGATAAAGGGAAGAGGGTGGTCGGTGACTCATCCGAAGGATCCCGAGCAGACGAAGAAGAAGAAAAAGAGCCCCGACACTGCCACCCTATGACGTCCCGTCACCGACACTGCCTCTCTGCGATGTCGGAATCCACCCATCGCCGGTGCCGCCTCTAGAATTTATGAAGTATGCTTATATTGAATTTAGGAATGCTTAGATTACATTTAGGACATGATATTATACATATGCACACCATCCGATATGACAATCCGATATTTAGTCCATGTCCTCAATATATCCCCGATTTCCTGCTATCCGACATGAATTTCAGCTGTCCGACATGAACCCGACATCCGACATTTAAAACCTTGTGTTCTCTTGCAGTGAAAGTCACAATGTTGAAATGGTGCTGATTTTTACCGAACAATGAATTAAATCACACTTCTATAAGGGTGAGAGTTATACCCTAGAAAATTAGCAAGTCTAATGGAGTCTCAAAAGCGACCACACGTAAAGACTAGCTGGTGGCCTCTAAATGCATCTGCAAACATGACCCGGGTCCTAAGATAGCCGACCTGCCTCACGAACCAAATCCGAGATGCAAGGCGTGACCGACCAGTGATCTGTTAGATGCCTGGCCCGAGATAAAACACGTTCGCCACTTGGTCCTAGCAATGAACGTCTTGAACAGTGGGATAGCTTGCCAAACATTGTTAGGGGTCACATCGCATTTAATGCATGAACAGTTCGGGCCTGCACTTAGCCGTCCAGTCGCCATCAATATTAATGCAGCGTTAGAGTTATCATGACCTTTCGAGCCAGAGCCTTCAAAGCTCCTCGAACACGCTATTATTTCCAATAGTCCCTTCATTGTTGTGAGGATGCCCTGAACAATCGACTGCTAACGCGTGTAGAGCATGATCTAGCCCATCACTGCATGGACCCGGCCAAATTACCAACTTGTCCCCATAAACTCTCCATTGATAGCGGCAACTTCTCTCTCCCAAGGTACGCGATTCTCCCTAGAAGCAAGTCAACAAGGCTATGCTCTATTTCTCTCTGTAGATGGATAAGATCGGCCACTGACTTGAGCGTCGGAGGGCACGTCGGAGGAAACAACCTTCAGGGCCTTTAACCTTATATATGTAGAGAATTACAGCCCAATATTTTGAACAGGAGAGTCTACCATCAAAGGGGGTTAAGGAACCCTCAAATCAATCTCACCTCCACTAAGCCACACCCTAATTTCCCTTCATAAACAATGAGTTATGTTGGTCTTTGGCTTTTGAAATCAGACTGACGTTTCCAACTTTCCATTATGCTAGTTCAGTTCTTATAACATTTTTATCTCTTTTAAGTGCTCCTGCCAATGTTTTTTGCTTCTAAATATGCGCATCCAAACCAAGTCCTCTGTAAAAAAGTTTATCTAATCCTAGGAAGTTTATGATAATATCTGTTGTGCATATATGATTGATTGATGAAAATTCTGTAGTGTGAAAATTTTGTAGCTGTTGTATTCTATGTCAATGTGTTTTACAGGTTGACCAATCTTGTAATTTGTGTTGGCCCTTTTGTGCCTATCTTGTGCTGATTCTTTCATGTGTGTTAAAATATTAAAATATAATCTTCAATCATCACCATAACTTTGGAGTTTAGTGTAATTGGTTAGAGGGATATTAAGATGGTATCAGAGCAACCAATGTTCGAATCTCACTGACCACAAATTTTATGCGGATTTAAAAAAATTAATACCGCTGCATGAGACTAGGTTTCAGCCCATTAAGTGCCAGTTTGACATTGCTTTTTTGAGGGTGCTTTTGCTTATGTTTTTAAGAAGCACCCAATAATGATGTTTGGTGATATTTTTTAGCATGCTTATTAAAACTGTTTGTGTTTTTAAGGGAGTGCTTTTACAAGCAATTTGAGGATGCTTCTAAATGCAACTTCTGCTTTTTTTGACTTTATACACCATATATACCTTTTATATTTTAAGAATGATAATTAAGCACAGTTCTACAAAACATTTTAACTGCTTTTTTAAGTATTTTTTTGATATTTGATTACCAAACTGCTATTGTGAACATCTTATATAAGTTATTTCTATAAGCTACTTTTATAAGCAACTTATTATATGCTCCGGCAATACCAGACTAGCCTTAAAAGGGCGCTCAACTTGCAGGTGCATAGTAGAATATAAAAATATAATTCTCAACCCTCACCATAACTTTGAATTTTTGGTGTAATGGTTAGAGGGACTTAATATAAGATAGTATCAGAGAAAACCAAGTTCAAATCCCACCGGCCACAAATTTAAAGTGGTTTTTAAAAAAAATGATGCCACTATGTAAGTCTCAATCTGTAGGAGCATGTTAGAATATTAAAGTATAATCCTTGATATTTTAATACTTTATTCCTGAGAGCCTAAATCTTTGCGGTTTAAGTTGTTGCAGGCGAATTCAATCTATGGCATCTAGTGCAAATCATATCTCACTTTTCTTTGTTAATGATACAAAAGCCAAGGTCAAATGTGACAAACATTTATTTTGATTTCAGGATCTGGAAATATTTACATCTCTTGCTGCTAAAGTGTTCTGGGTAAATTTTTTTAATGCAAGAACATCTTCCTTGGACAGCCATTGTCGACATTATCCTTACTTTTGTCTATAAATCATATAGAAATAATGGATTGTCTTACCTATGTTTCCAAATTCAATGCATGCGCTTTTTCTTGGAAATATTTTATGATGGTGTTATAGTATTGCTCTTCTTTATCCTTCAGTATGAAATATGAGGCTTTGGTTACCAGGGCGGTGACCAAGTTAGGAAGTATAGAGGCATGGGCTCCCTTGAAGCTGTGACAAAGCGGATTGATGCCTGGTACTTGGGTGACACATTAAAGCTGACGGTTGCCCGGGGAACGCAATGCAAGTTGTCAAACAAGGATTCCGAGATCTTGGTGCATCATCTTTGCAGTCTGCTCACAATCTTCTAGATCAGGAAAGCTAAGATTTGAGACCATTTGGGATATGTATGCAAAATTCTTTTTGCTTTTTTGAATGTTATTCATATTTGTTTGTTCTTGCAGTGGCTGCAGCGTGGTACTTTTCATGTAGCTTGTTTTGTTATAAATATTTTAGACAGTCTCACCCTTTTTCTGTTATTTATTTAAGTGGTTGGTATCTTATAAATATGTTTAGCTCTTTATCTTTCTCAGATGCAGATCTTAATCAGGGTACAAAGTTATGCATTTTCAGGGGTAACAGTTTTTCTACTCATTTGGCATTACATTTTCAAATTCTGCAAGCACGTAAGTTCTATTTATTTGTGATTAATCAATGAAGTAAAAGTCTGTTTTTTGAGAGGCATGTGTTCGAGATGGCCATCTTTTCTTTTAAAAAGAAATTAATTTTGACATTGGTTTTGTTTTTTAAAAGAAAATTTTAAATGCATTGAGGTTCCTAACTTGTTTGGATAATCTTATCTATCTTGCTTTCCAGGTTAGAACAGACACTGCACAAGTTGAAGGAGGGGTTCATGGATTAGTGTTATACGACAAAACACCATTCTGAGGACTCCGAGAGAGAGCATATTTCTTGAAATCACAACGGCGATCATGGAAAATATGCCAGTTTGGTGAAAACCAAGCTAATATGTGGACCTTTTGAGACTGAGTATCCAATGTGGACTTGTGGGTTTATTGTTTCGATTTATTTATTAAATTAAATCGATTAAGTTACAGCTATATTGATTTCCTTCCCTCTGAGCTGTGTACCTAGAGAGCTTTATAATGTGGGGTAAAATTTATGCTTATTCATTGCGTCACAGATCAGTGGCTCAAATCTCATTAGATAATTAATTTCCGATTAATTACAATTTCTATTCTCTGTTTTTTCTGAATTTTTACAGGATGGCATATTCATGGATAGAAATCTGGAAAATTTCAATCTGCCTCCTGCGTTCACTCACTCTCAATGGTGTTCTAGTTAGCATGCTCTTCTTTTTACTAAGAAGTAAGTAGACCTTTCCATTTCTCTCATTTTTTCTCGAGATGAAGTCAGTTGATATCAGTATCTCTTACTATTGAATAAGATTGTTACATAGATTTTATGAATATTTCTTGATTGATTGATCAATTTAACATTGATACTGCGGACATGTTGGCACTTGGCAGAGAGCGCAGCTCAGATGCATGCTCATGAATTTTATATTCTCTCCACTTACAAAGCATTGCATTGTTTGAGACGAATTCAACAATGTAAGTCTCACATCTGAAACCTGAATGTGACCCTGTTTATTCACTTGATATGCTTACATAATGTTTAATGAAGTTAGGCTTGGCTTGTTGCGTTTACTTAGATACTATACCCGTGATTTCTTGTAGGGTTTTGATAACACTAGAAATAATTTTATTTGTGTTTTCATTTTCCAAGGATGTATATAGGAGATTATTGGAAACTTCAGAGTTAGCATGCAGAACTATTTTCACTGCATAAGATTTGAGCAAACGCTCGTGTGCAATGTTTGCAATGAGGGATACAGTTTACGGATCGACTGTCAAAAGAGGAATCAAAATAGGAGTTGAGATTGCCTATACACCAACATCTAAAAAGCCAACGCCAAAACCACATGATGGATGAAATTTATAGATTGACTATCAAAAGAGTTGAGACGCGTATATACCAACATCTTAAAAGCCAATGCCAAAACCACCGCCATGCCTGTGGCACCCTGTGAAAAATAGATCAAATAAGAATGCCCCACATGCGAGCAAAGTGTTCTGAGCCATAACTATAAAGAGATGGTGGAAAACTCTAGATTTCTCCCTCTTTATGGTTCATAACACTTCACTCTCACGCAGTCTTCTGATAGAATTTGTACTCACCATCGTGGGCCTCCACCGACGCCACAACATGACTGGCACCATAAGCTCCGGCCTCTGAAGTTTAGAGGGCTCTTGGAGAAGAACATATTGTCAGATTTAAAGAGGACTAGGTGACAAAGTATGACAATTGTTCACTGGTAGTAGCTATTGTTGGGTGCGGTATGAAGGTAAGGGATGATGGGTATTTATAGGGTTTGGGAATGAGATTGTGGGCCCAAATAGTGCAGGTCCAAATAGTGCACTGGACTGTTGAAGGGCACATGGTGTGAGTGGTCCAGAGCTCCCAACATTCTCTAGTGTTGTAGATGTTGCGATTCTTCTGGCCTCCACAATCTACATCTCACATGCTAACTATTCATCTTAGGCCTGATATGTATTCTATATGATCAAAAGTTATCAAATGGCTATGTAATCATGACACATGTTGTGACTGATATGCATAGCAAATCCCACAACTGTTGATCTTATTACTAGATAAGTTTCACTCACATACATACTTCTACTATTTGTAGAATTACATATGAGAAACGAGCAAAATTATATTGAAAAAAGATGAGTTCTGCCCCGCGTTTGTTATTCTCATGACTCTCATGACCTGTCATGAGCGTGTTTGGTGAATGTAGGATATGTAGCTTATCGTCAGGGAAAAGTTGGTAGTAAAGGAATAATCTCAATGCCTCAAATTTCACGGATATATTCCTTTAGTTTTGTGGCAAAAAGTCTGGATTCAATCCCACCAATAGAGATAAAGTACCTCTATATATCCAAAACTGTAGAGAACGTTAAAATGGGTTAGCGTGATTTTTTTGGGTCAAACTATTCATGCATGTGATCTTGTTCATGTCAAAAACAATGTTTGAAATAGATGGATACATAACAAAGGTGTTTTTTTCCCATGAGAAACTTCCATTTTCATGATTAGTTTCATCTTTGATCCATAATTCACTTGCGTTTGGAAAAAATCACGCATGTTGTGATTGTTGTCCCCAGTTGGCTATGTGAAAATTGTCCAATTTAGACGAGCCAATTAGTTTACCTACAACATGTTCGTTTTGGGAGTGTAGACCTAAACCTTGGAACAAGCATGCGAAGCAAAGACTTCTGTAAGTAAAGAAATTATGCGATTATGCGAACTTGATGGTTCAGTTGAACTTGATAGTTCAGGCGAACTTGATCGTTCAAGCGAACTTGATGGTTCATGCGAACTTGGAAGTTCAGTCGAAGCCCGAAGCTATGTTAAAGCGAACTTGGATCACAGGCGAAGCTGAGTTCAGGCGAACTCCAAGTGCAGGTGAACTTTAAGTGCTCAGGCGAAACAGTGTTCAGGCGAAGCTGTCCAGGCAGACATGAATATGTTCAGGCGAACATAGGTCTTGCAGTCGAAGCTGTCCAGGCAAACTCCAATGTTCAAGCGAGCTTCACGGACAGTCGAACTCGCAGAAAAGGACAAATTCCTAATCTGTTTTGACCTAGGGTTTCCCTATAAATAGGGAACCCTGGCCGCAAATTCCAATAACGATTTTGAGAGATCCCTCAAGCGTTTTTAGCAGTGATTTTTGCAGAAGCTTTGAGCAGATATTTTCTCAAGGAAAATCTCGCGCCTTTGAGAAAGAAAAAGAGTGTCTTTCTTTGTTCTTTTTCGAAGAGATCTCAGGGAGATTGAGATATTCTTTTGCAAGCTTGTAATTTTCTTTAATAATCAAAGAAATTCTAGTGTGGCTCCCGAGGACGTAGGCACGTTTGCCGAACCTCGTTAAAATTTAGTGTTCTCTTTTTTATTCTTTTTCTTGCAAGTTTTTTCTTTTATTTGCTGTGATTTCTTCTTGCCTACTTTCAACACAAGATCCAGAAGGCATGCTACGTGAGGGTTTATTGATAGGTTGTCATTAGGTTGAATCCCTAACAACTGGTATCAGAGCATCGTTCAGATATGTGTGTAAGCAATGACATAAGAAAATAAATCAAAGATTGAGAAGTTTGACGGATCAAACTTCGCCTACTGGAAGTCACAGATGAAGAACTATTTGTACCAGAAGGATCTTTCCCGTTCGTTGATGGGTAAAGCGAAGGGAAAGAAGAAGGATGAGACCGACGAGGACTTAGAAATATTGGATCGAAAGACTCTAGAGCAGATCCTATTGTCGCTCGCAAAATTAGTCACACACAATATATTGAAGAAGAAGATGATGGTAGGGCTTATGGAAGCGCTCGTAAAGATGTACGAGCAACTGTCAGCTGCAAACAATGTGCATCTCGTCAAAACGCTCTTCAACGTCAAGATGGCAGAAGGATGTTCCTTCATGATACATCTCAGCAAGTTTAACACGATTGTTGATCAACTCATCTCAGTTGACATCACGTTTGATGATGAAGTGCATGCCCTATTGATACTATCGCAGTTATCGGATAGTTGGGCAGGTTGCGTGACCGCAATCAACAACTCGGTAGGGAA